GGTTGAGGGTTGAGGGTTGAGGGTTGAGGGTTGAGGGTTGAGGGTTTGAGGGTTGAGGGTTGAGGGTTGAGGGTTGAGGGTTGAGGGTGAGGGTTGGGTTTAGGGTTTAGGGTTTAGGGTTTCGGGTTTAGGGTTTAGGGTTTAGGGTTTAGGGTTTAGGGTTTAGGGTTTAGGGTTTAGGGTTTAGGGTTTAGGGTTTAGGGTTTAGGGTTTAGGGTTTAGGGCTTAGGGCTTAGGGCTTAGGGCTTAGGGCTTAGGGCTTGGGCGTTAGGGTTTCGGACTTCGGGTTCGAGGGTTTGTCTGTGGGGCCGAGTCAAGGATCTAGGGTCTTCTGGGCTTCTGAACTCCAGACTCCAAGCCCGTAAACCCTGAAATCCTCTTGGGGTACAATGAGGGGTACCCTGAACCGTAAACCCTAAGCCCTACTAAACCCTAAACCCTACTAAACCCTAAACCCTAAACCCTAAACCCTAAACCCTAAACCCTAAACCCTAAACCCTAAACCCTAAACCGCTCATTCACTTAAGCTTCAAGATGGGTTTAGGGGAACCTTCAGGCCATCCCCTATTAAAGCCAGAGCACCCACCTTTTGAGGGCTTAAAGCTTCGGGTCACCGAAGACACCTGAAACACCGTTCTCAGCTTCTAGAACCCTCCAGCTTGGACATAAGGGCCTGAATGATTAGAATAGGCTTTTGGGGGTTATGACCGTATAATTACAAAGAGACCATAACAGAATGTGATTAGTAACTATTCCGACCTCTATGTGGTTGTCACGTGAGCCGCCGGTCTTTGGGCCTTCTCAGCCATGAAAAGTCCAAGAACTCAACCCTCGAACTCCCAACCCTCGAACTCCCTAACCCTCCAACTCCCAACCCTGAACCCTAAACCTAAACCCTAGACACTAGGCCCCAAACCCAAAACCTTAGACCTCCTCAGCGCCGGCCTCATGACGCAGTGGGTCGTCTCAGCGCTCACGTGCGGGGGACAAAGCCGGCCTCCACATATTCGTTTCGCGGCTTTAGGGTTTAGTGCTTAGGGTTTAGGATTTGCTGTCTCTAGGGCGCGCGCTTGGATTCAGAACTAAAACTGAATCGCCTGCCTGGGCATTAGTCACAAACACGGAATCAGATCAAAAGGATCCGTGGCGATGAGCCCAATACAGGGGTCGGCAGAATTACACGTAGTATTCCCTCAAAGTCCCTGTTAAAAAGTACTATAATAACCCCCCCAAACCCCTACACCCTAAACCCTAAACCCTAAACCCCTAACCCCCTAAACCCTACTCTAATGAGGCCCTTATGTTAGCTCACAGGAGCTAAGAAAGCCAGTCAAGCCCAGGCTGAAAGATGCTTTTTTAGGCTTCAGGGATCTGGGGTAGGGTTTGGGTTTGGGGTTTGGGGTTTGGGGTTTTAGGGTTTAGGGTTTAGGGTTTAGGGTTTAGGGTTTAGGGTTTAGGGTTTAGGGTCTAGGGTTTAGGGTTTAGGGTTTAGGGTTTCGGGTTTAGGGTTTAGGGAGAGCCACCGCACGCCATCAAGCGGCTCGAGGCTCTCGTCACTAACAGGACTCGAGAGCCGAGACAGGCCTCCATTATCTGGCTGCACCTGAATGATGCGCGACCGCGTGGTCTCGCCGTCTCCACCTGCCGTGGAGTTGGATTTGGGGTCTGGGGTTCGGGTTGATGAGGGTTGAGGGTGTAGAGGTGACGAGGGCCTTTAACGTTCAATTTTGGGATACTCCCTCAGCCCTAAACCCTAAACCCTAAACCCGAAACCCTACAACAGCAGAGGAACCATCCGACCTGCGCAGCCAGCGCGTGATGTTTCGGGGTTTAGGGGCGCTTGGGGTTTCGGGCGTAAGCTGTTGTAGCACAACTTGCCATCCTACTCCTCAGCCCTCAAACCCTAAACCCTGAACCCTAAAACCCTCAGCCCCGAACCCTCCCCCGCTGACCTCTAAGGCGTCAACACGCAGGCCAGAGCACAGGGTGACTTTGGAGGGCTGCGTGGCGGTAGGCTACGAGAACCCTAGGACCCTATTAAAGCTACTTGTGCCCACTTTGCTTAGAAGCCCTAAACGCTAAACCCTACAACCTGAGCCCTGAACCTAAACAACCCCTAAATCGGGTGGGCAGGGCACAGGGTACAGGATGGCTACGACAAGGATTTAAAGCCCTGAAGAAATGACCCTGTAGCCAGTCGTATGCCAGTCCGTAGCGGATGTATACTACATATTGTACTGGCAACATTGTTGTGGCTTCTTTGATGTGTTGTTCGTTTTTTGGGGGTGGGAGTGGGGGCAGGGGATGGGGGGGGATGTGGTTCCCAAAAAAATTTTCTTCGCCTCCAGCCGGACGCCGGACAGCGAATCCCACGTCGGATGCACAAGTTGACTTTCCTAGGATAGCTCAGCTAAATCCCTAAGCCAAACCTGCATTTCAACAGGCCAGCTGCTCAGGTAACACTGCACGCAGCCCAGTCGGTCCTGGCGGGATTTGCAGGGGACTAGGGTTTAGGGGTTAGGGTTCAGGGTTTGGGATTTAGGGGTTAGGGGATAGGGTTTAGGGTTTAGGGTTTAGGGTTTAGGGTTTAGGGTTTAGGGTTTAGGGTTTAGGGTTTAGGGTTTAGGGTTTAGGGTTTAGGGTTTAGGGTTTAGGGTTTAGGGTTTAGGGTTTTTAGGGTTTAGGGTTTAGGGTTTAGGGTTTAGGGTTTAGGGTTTAGGGTTTAGGGTTTAGGGTTTAGGGTTTAGGGTTTAGGGTTTAGGGTTTAGGGTTTAGGGTTTAGGGTTTAGGGTTTAGGGTTTAGGGTTTTAGGGTTTAGGGTTTAGGGTTTAGGGTTTAGGGTTTAGGGTTTAGGGTTTAGGGTTTAGGGTTTAGGGTTTAGGGTTTAGGGTTTAGGGTTTAGGGTTTAGGGTTTAGGGTTTAGGGTTTAGGGTTTAGGGTTTAGGGTTTAGGGTTTAGGGTATAGGGTTTAGGGCTCAGGCTTGAGCATTTCTGGCCGCGGAGGTTCAGCAGCGTCTGCACGGGTGTCAACCTGGCCAGGAAGGCCAGTCGTCCCACCTGCACCAGGTCGAGCTCAAGAACCGGGCACCCTGCTGTGGCTTCCCATTATGGACTTTGGGGAGTTCAGCCCTAAAGCCCTAAAGCCCTAAACCCTAAACCCTAAACCCTAAACCCGAAACCCTAAACCCTAGCCCTAAACCCTAAACCCTATCAACGCTGAGTCGGAGTGTCTGCCGGCCTGCAGTCCCTCTGCTGCGAGTTCGGGCAGTCCTGGCGCCAAAGGGCTGTGGGGGCGCTTGGGGACTTTGGGTGTTTAGGGTTTGGGGTTTGGGGTTTGGGGTTTAGGGTTTAGGGTTTAGGGTTTAGGGTTTAGGGTTTAGGGTTTAGGGTTTAGGGTTTGGGGTGTAGGGTTTCGGCCGAACACCTATACCCTAACTAGAAGCCCCGAGAATGTACTGGGCCACATCAGGGCCTCACCCCAGGCCCCAAGGTGCAAGGTAAGGAGCGTCTGACGGCTTGGGTTTAGGGTTTAGGGTTTAGGGTTTAGGGTTTAGGGTTTAGGGTTTAGGGTTTAGGGTTTAGGGTTTAGGGTTTAGGGTTTAGGGTTTAGGGTTTAGGGTTTAGGGTTTAGGGTTTAGGGTTTAGGGTTTAGGGTTTAGGGGTTTAGGTTAGGGTTTAGGGTTTAGGGTTTGGGGTTTGGGGTTTGGGGTTTGGGGTTTAGGGTTTAGGGTTTAGGGTTTAGGGTTTAGGGTTTAGGGTTTAGGGTTTAGGGTTTAGGTTTATCGGACCAGGGGGTTTCAGGCTTCGGGCCTCGGGTTTGAGACGATGTAGGATTTAGGGTTGTATGGTTAAAGGGCTTCGGGTTTCGATGTTTGTCGGGGAGCCGCGGCGTCTCAAGCATTGAGGGTTTTAGGGTTTTAGGTCCTTAGGGCCCTAACCCCTAAACCCTAAACCCTAAACCCCTAAACCCTAAACCCCTAAACCCTAAACCCTTTTGGGTCTTTAGGGCTTTTAGGGTTTTAGGTCTTTAGGGCTTTTAGGGTTCTAGGGCTTCATAAGTCCCTGAAACCTACACTGATACAGCGTCAGACCCTGACTCATTCAAAAGGGCCTGCCGTAGTCCATCAAGATCCAACATGCAGGCCCAAAAACAGTATTTAGGGTTTAGGGTTTAAGGTTTAGGGTTAAGGGTTAAGGGTTAAGGGTTTAGGGTTTAGGGTTTAGGGTTTAGGGTTTAGGGTTTAGGGTTTAGGGTTTAGGGTTTAGGGTTTAGGGTTTAGGGTTTAGGGTTTAGGGTTTAGGGTTTAGGGTTTAGGGTAACACACTGAAAAATATTAAAAGCAAAAATCTCAGAAAGACCCAAAAAGACCCTGGAGACCCTCGAAACCCTAAACCCCACCAAACCCTGAAAACCCTACGATCACTAGACCCTAAACCCTAAACCCGAAACTCCTGAACCCTAAACCTTACGCTCTAAACCCTAAACCCTAAACCCCTAAACCCTAAACCCCTAAACCCTAAACCCTAAACCCTGAACCCTAAACCCTAAACCCTAAACCCCAAGTCCTGGACCAGGCAGCCGCGGATCTCGTCCAGGCGGCCGTCGCAGGGCCGGCCCCCCAGCTTGGGTTCCCTAGGTTTAGGGTTTAGGGTTTAGGGCTTCTAGGTTTAGGGTTCCCTAGGTTTGGGGTTTAGGGTTTAGGGTTTAGGGTTTAGGGTTTAGGGTTTAGGGTTTAGGGTTCTGAGGCCTTTGCAAGGATTTTTGAGGGTTTGCGGCTTGGGTTTCGAGGTTTAGCTTAGGGAGGCTGAGGGCTTCTTGTAATTCACCCTACACCTACACCCGAAGTCCCGAGACAGAAGCCTAACCCCTGTATAACTATGGTATGGACTACTCGAAATGCCCATTGAAACTCGCAACCCCAAACCCTAAGCTCTGATACAGGAGCCTAAATTATTAGCGCAGTATGACCACAACTCATGGTTTCTCATACTCCGAGCGGTCACTCCAGCCGCCTGCGCTTGACCAAGGGCAATACTTCGTACCCGTTCTCCTGAACATTCGCCGAGATCTTTGGGCGGACACCCCCAAAGAAGCAACGCTCAGCCTCCGGCATACTGAGGCGTATGCTTCGGTCGGGCACCATCTGCCCTTTTTTGTTTCTCATGGCCACCACCGTGTTCCGCAGAATGGCGCTGCGGGCTTCCGAGCGGAGGAATCGGAGGTCCATGTGGATTGACCAACCATTGTTCCCTGACAGGGTATTGCCTTCGATGATTGCGGGCACATCTTGCAACAACACACCACGACCGTTGCCAATAATGTTGTTGTATGCAATGATCCCGGTCACTTCAGTGGGCTCGACGTTGATGGTTGCTGGGCACATCTCACCACAACGAAGTGCTGCGAACTCCGACGGCGCAGCTACCCCGTTCTTATTCCAAGATCGACGTTGTCCGATGACCTCAATGCCTGATGACGCCGCTCCACTGATAAGGTTGTCCTCAGCTCAGGCAGGGCTCAGATGACTAGGCCGTAACCTGGGTTTCGTTGAGAGCATTCGAAGCGCATGGGGCAAGCCAACCTCAATTGCCCTCTACGTGCTTCAAACATGAAACGCTGACCCAACCATACACTCAGCTGCAGCCTAAGCATCCATGACCGCAAACTCCAGCTTTCGGCAACCGACGAGATTGATGCCGTTCAATCCTGGCGCTGTGAGGGTGTTTGAAATCAACTGCACCGGGGAAGCCACCACACCGATTCCAACGGCTTTGCCATTTCGGATTTGGTTGCCTTCCACACGCGACATGTGATCCAAATGCATCAAGACAATTGCTCGCCTGGAATTGTCTGCTTGATTGTGCTCCACAAGCACTTGTGGAATGCCAGTGATAAGGATTCCAGTGTCGCAGCAGTCAAGGGTATTCTTTGAGATCTCGGAGAGATTGTCTGAATCATCACCATGATTGCCATGAGACACCCAAATAGCAGTGTTGGCCACGGAAAACGAGTTGGACACAATGCAACTTTGGCAAGATGCAGCAATAGCATCATTGACATCCCGAAAGTTGCACCCTTGAACAAGCGCATATGCGAACTGTTTCCGCACCAAAACCCCGGGTTTCACGTCCACATGCTCTTCTTCCGAAAGAAAGATGGCAGCATTCGGAAAATCAACGATTCTGGCGCGCTTCTTGGGGATAGGTTTCCGCACTCCGACAGCTTCAAACTGTGAGCTGACCACATTGACAGTTGGCCGTTGTTGGTAACTCATTGTTTGGATCTGCTGGCTGAGGCCACAGTCCTTAGCGCCCCACGCTTTGCAGGATAGCTAGTCCACCAACACTTTCAAAGCAGCGAAAGCTGCTCGCGGAAAAACGGTTACGTAAATGGTCGAAGTTAGTTTCACTTGAACATTGACCGAAATTAACCTGCACTTGAAACATCTTGAAACAACAGATCCAAGAGTCGATGGCCGACATACAGTCCCTGAACCGGCACTCCCTGATACTCACCTGATGACTGCGTAAGTCTAACGCAGCCCGATCCGCAGCCCTGAAGCTGCAATGTTCCGCCGTCACTCTTGCAGCTTTGTGGACCTTGATGCAATGTCGCCCCAGCTGTCCATCCCTGGGCCCTGCCGCCTGAAACTCACAGTCGCTGATCCACAGATTCCCCACGCGAACCTTCAGCAGGCTGTGGAAAAGGCTGAGACGGATGCAGTCTGGAGGGGCCACTTTCAGAGTCTTCAAGCCCAGATAGCCACCAGCAATGGTCCACTCGGCAGCTGCAAGGGAAGCTTCTCGATTCTCGGGGCCTTGAATCGTGACGGGGAATTCAAGGCGCGTACGAACTCGGTGAGTTCCCGCGCAAAGGACGATTCCGCAACATTGGCTTTGACGACTTTGGAGATGTTGTTGCCACACTTCCGTCATCTTCCGCAGTCCTACATCTAGAGTTGAAGCTTGGTGAGCTTCGCCAGCCTGAAGGACAACTAGCTGGAAGTCGCAACCGGGACCTAGGAAGTCGACGATCTGATGCGCAGAGTTCATGCCAAGGTGTCCACGGAGAAACTTTAGAACCGTCTTCTTCTTGATGCACCGCCCCCCTTCTTCACGCGGCCTCACGCGGCTGAACTCGGCTCTTCGCTGGTTGGCTTCAACAAGCCGCTGACCAGCTCTTGCTCTGCGGTCAGCGTCGGGGGGCCGGAAGAGCGGAAAGCTTTGGGAACCAAGAAGCATGACGCCCTCGGCACGATCGACAGCCTGAGATCTGGTGGATTTCTGCCGGTCCACGTGGTGCCTTCGCAATTTTGGCGGCATCTGCTTCCTAGCACGCACTCACGACTCACGTCACGAAAAGTCACCTCCACATGTTTTTGAACATATCCGGCTGCAATCCAATGTCGGCTGCATCTTTGAACACACCCACATGGACAACCAAACAAAACCCACGAGCATGTCAGTTTAATGCAGAAGGGATATATGACACGGCCTGTAGTGGCCGCAAGGATGTAGGAGCATCAGATGTGAGAACACCTAATTCATCCCTGAGCTCTACTAAACCCCACAAACCCTAAAACCCTAAACCTAGGACAGGGCTTCAGGCGCTGTTTTGGGCGTTCCAAGACAATGCTGGCTGTCCAAAATTTTCCGAGCGCGGCGCCGGATGATCAGCCTCGTTCGGTACTGCTGCCCTCCTCAGGACTAGCGTTCAGGGTTTTGGGTTTGGGTTTCAGGGTTAGGTGTGGGGGTGTCTGTGAGCAGCACGCAGCAACACAGGACCATGGCGGTGTTTTGGGGCTTTAGGGTTTAGGGTTTCGGGCTTTCGGACTTAGGCTTAGTGTTGGTTAGTAGGGAACGAAAGAATGGTAGCAATAGTAACTACAATCGTAGTTCATTCTTTCCTTCCCTACTAACCAACAGTAAGTAGGGTCTAGGCTCCAGGGCTTCACAACCCCTAAACCCTAAACCCTAAACCCTAAACCCTAAACCCTAAACCCTAAACCCTAAACCCTAAACCCTAAACCCCGCGTCCTGCGCAGGTTTTCGTGCAGTCGGACCAGGGTTCCCAGGGTGTCATCTTGCCTCGGTGTTGGGGTTCTGCCCGTTAGGCTGCGGGGGTTGTGGGGCTGGGGTTTTAAGGTTTAGGGTTTGCAGGGTTTAGGGGCACAAAAGCTACGACCCCAAGCCCTGAACCCCTAAACCCTAAACCCTAAACCCTAAACCCTAAACCCTAAACCCTAAACCCTAAACCCTAAACCCTAAACCCCCTTTTAAACCCAAAATTGGGATCAGACTCGGGACTTCAACTGTTAAGGGAGAGGACAGCTCCCCTCAGCAAGGCGGGATATGTCCGGAACCCGAGCCCTTACATGAGCATCCCTTATTATGGAGGATCCTTCTGAGACGGGGGGGGGGGGGCTACTTGATGGGATCCACCCCAAACCCTAAACCCCATAAGCCCCAAACCCTGAACCCTAAGGCCCTAAGCCCTGTAAACTCTAAACCCCAACACCCTGAAACCCTAAAACCCTAAAACCCTGGACCCTAAACCCTAAACCCTAAACCCTAAACCCTATAAACCCAAACCCTAAACTCTGAAACCTGTTGAAAGAACCCAAGTGCGGCCCAAGGCGCAATCTTCTGCGCCTCCCTGCCTGCGTGGCTTAGGGTTTAGGGTTTAGGGTTTAGTAGGGTTTAGGGTTTAGGGTTTAGGGTTTAGGGTTTAGGGTTTAGGGTTTAGGGTTTAGGGTTTAGGGTTTAGGGTTTAGGGTTTAGGGTTTAGGGTTTAGGGTTAGGGTTTAGGGTTTCGGGGGGTTGGGGGGATTTAAGGGTTAGGCCTTGAGGTTTTGGGGCTTAGGGCTTCACCAAATCCTCCACCACCTGGCCTGAACCCCAAACCCTAAACCCTAAACCCCAAACCCTAAACCCTAAACGCTAAATCCTAAACCCTAAAACTAATAAAACCCCAAACCCCAAACCCCTAACCCCTAACCCCAAACCCCAAACCCCAAACCCCAAACCCTAAACCCTAAACCCTAAGCTGCCTGCCGCAAGGCCCATCACAGGGGCGCAGCTGCTTCTGCGGCCCCGTGCAGGGCAGGCCGCCATTCCTCGGGGGTCGGACGGGTTCTTGAGGCTTAGGGTACAGGTTTGGGTTGAGGGTACAGGGTTTAGGGTACGGGTGTAGAAAGAGTGCCTATCCTTGGGCGGCTAAGGGGGGGGGGGGGGGGGGGTGTAGGGTTTACGGTGTAGGGTTTAGGGTCTTGGGATGCGCAGGTGCACAAGGAATTGGGGGCTCCAGGAAAGGTTAGGGCTCAAGGGCTTCAATTTTTTGGGGGATCGGGGAGGTTCCCTAAACCCTACACCCTACACCCTAAACCCGGACCCTAGACCCCAAACCCGAAATTCCGGGGCTTTTGCTTGCACTGAGGCGTCGAAGTGGGCCTTGGGCTGCTTTAGGGTTTAGGGTTTGGCCCTAAACCGCTGTGGGTACTTCAGCCCTAAACGACACCCCACATGCTTAACACCCTTGCCCGGAAGCCGAAGTAAACCTCAGATACGGCAACCCTGAACCCTAAACCCTAAACCCTAAACCCTACACCCTAAACCCTAAACCCTAACCCCCCCCCCCCCGCCTGCTGTCAGCGACGATCTCGCGGTGCCGCCTTTGGACACCGTCGCAGCCGCACTCCTCCCAGGCGGACCACTCCGACCTGAATAGGGCTTCAGGCTTGGGGCTTTGGGGTTTAGGGTTTAGGGTTTGGGGTTTAGGGCTTGCTGTAGGGCTTAGGGTTTAGGGTTTAGGGCTTAGGGTTTAGGGTTTAGGGTTTAGGGTTTAGGGTTTGGGGTTTGGGGTTTGGGGTTTAGGGTTTAGGACTTTTCTGGTTTAGGGCAGTTAGGGCGGTGAGATGGCAAGACAGAAGGTCTTTGAAGGCGTTCGGGTATTCGGGGTATGCGGGTCTTCTCTAAATTGGGGGTCCCTCTTTGGGGTACCTTTACAATACGTGCTCGTATATATAGGGGCCCCAAAATATCAGAATATCGAAAACTAGCCATGTGCGGCTTGATCAAAATCTTGGGCTCTTCCTGCATCTCTGCTATGCGACATTCCTTCTGGTCTTCCCACAACGACCACCCAAAATTCAGACCTACTCCAAACCCTCAACCCTAACCCTCAATACACCCCAAACCGTACTTGGAACCAAAACAGCACCCCTAAACCCTAAACCCTTTTTTGGGGCGAGTCGCGTTTTGCTTGTCGGAGGAAATCCGAAATTCCGAGGCCCACGCCAGACGCAATCGGCTACGACCGCGCCATTGTCGCAACGGCCCAGGTTGCATCCGTGTATCTCCTTTTGGGGTTAGGGTTTGAGTTTAAGGGTTTGGGGTTTGGGGTTTGGGGCTTGGGGTTTAGGGGGTTTAGAGGGTTTAGAGGGTTTAGAGAGTTTAGAGGGTTTAGAGGGTTTAGAGGGTTTAGAGGGTTTAGAGGGTTTAGAGGGTTTATAGGTGCCGTATCTAGGAGTGCTCAGTACAGCACCAGCTATTCCCAGTACAGAACTCCAAAGCAAGGAGAAACACTGCACGGCTATCCCGTGGCTTGGAATGGAACCCACAACCCTAAACCCTAAACCCTAAACCCTAAACCCTAAACCGGCTTCATGACGGGCGCTTTGGAATTTGAGGACTGACCGCTGACGTGACAATGTCCCTATGGCTTTGAGAACTGCCGCTGTTAGCCACATCGCTGCAGACTGCCCCGAAACACTAAACCCTAAAACCCAAAACCCTAAACCCTAAACCCTAAACCCTAAAACCCTAAACCCGAAACGTAACGAGTGTAGACCGCGCCACCCTGGCAGCCCCTTCTTTTTTCTTTGGGGTTGGGGAGAGGTCCTTCGACAAGGAGACCCCGCAAGGGAACTAGGGTTTAGAGTTTAGGGCTTCCGGTTTAGGGGTTTTAGGTTTTAGGGTTTAGGGTTTAGGGTTTAGGGTTTAGGGTTTAGGGTTTAGGGTTTAGGGTTTAGGGTTTAGGGTTTAGAACAAATCCCGAGCTGCCAGAGAGACCGCCAAACGAGAACTTTGCGCCTTCTGCTGGCCACGGCAGCCTTCGGATGATGCCTCGCAGAGCTGAGAGATACATCCTTTACAGGCTTTAGGGTTTAGGGTTTAGGGTTTAGGGTTTAGGGTTTAGGGTTTAGGGTTTAGGGTTTAGGGTTTAGGGTTGAGGCAAATGAGGCAATCTACACCTTTGACTGTGACACCCGGATTCTGGCACGGGGCACTATTTCCTGTAGCTTCGCAGTTGAGTGGCTATTTGGAGCGTCTCGCGAGTCGCCAACTTCCCTGAAAATCCAGATGAAGCCTGTAAGGCCTCTATGAGACTGAAGAAGTGCTTCTGGTTTAGGGTTCAGGGTTCAGGGTTCAGGGTTCAGGGTTTCGGGTTTCGGGTTTAGGGTTCAGGGTTCAGGGTTTCGGGTTTCGGGTTTAGGGTTTAGGGTTTAGGGTTTAGGGTTTAGGGTTTAGGGGGAAGCTCAGAGCTCAGAAGTTTTAGACTACAGGTCCACCAAAAACAACCCCCCCAGGGCAAGCAAGAGTGCTCAAGATTCCTCCTCAACCCAAAACCCTAAACCCTAAACCCTAAACCCTAAACCCTAAACCCTAAACCCTAAACCCTGAACCCCAAACCCGAAACCGCAAACGTCACGCCGAGCTGCATCCATTCAGGGAGCCACCTTCTCTCCGAACACCATGGCTGCGGCGACGATGGAACCCTGGTGGTCCGGCAAAGCACTTGGCATTCTTGGGGGTTGGTAGGTCCATGTATATTAGGCTTTCGGAACCCTACACCCTACACCCTAAACCCTAAACCCTAAACCCTAAACCCTAAACCCTAAACCCTAAACTCTATTCTTGAAATATCCCGTGGAGTTCAAGGGTCAGTGCCTCCTCCGTGGATGCCCTTAGCTTTCATGCGAAGGCAGCTGGGTTTCACTGGGGCTGCTTGAGCAGATCCAATGGCCCTCGCGGCACGCCGCTTCGCAGATAGACCAAGGTTAGGGTTTAGGGTTTAGGGTTTAGGGTTTCGGGTTTAGGGTTTAGGGTTTAGGGTTTAGGGTTTAGGGTTTAGGGTTTAGGGTTTAGGGTTTAGGGTTTAGGGTTTAGGGTTTAGGGTTTAGGGTTTAGGGTTTAGGGTTTAGCGTTTCGGGTTTCGGGTTTCGGGTTTCGGGTTACAGAGGCGGGATCGCCTTGCCGCTGGAGTGTGACGCAACTTCATGGGGGTAGCTCTCTGAACTCCCGAAACCCTAAACTGTAGGGTCCCTTTTTGGGGTCCTTTGATAAGGTGCCGTACTAGGTAGAAACCCAAAAGGGGAGCCTAATTTAGAGAGCTACCCTCATGAACCGAGCAGCACAACCCTACTTAATTAAACTGTGTGTTTGGGGTAGGTTTATTGCTTTGGGAGAAATCATGAATGGGTACGTTTGGGGAGTTCGCCGAATGTTGAATTAGGGGGGATTACTGAGACTCTGAGAGAAGTGGGTATTTCAGCTACTGCAGCGTGCATTATATTCATTTTTGAGGCTCTCCTCCCCATTTAGCACAATGTAAACAAGAATCGATGTGGAGGTTCCCGAATTTAGCGGTACCTGATATTGGGGTCCTCATGTTCAGGGAATCCTACTGCTCGCGGTCTATTTTCGGGGTCCCTGTTGTTTTTCGGATATATCATAGGGTGGGTTAACTCTTCGGGGCTGGGCCTTGATGCAGAATGCGTTGTGGGTGTGCAGTCTCGGGTCCCGCTGATCATATTACGGGTTTAGGGCCTAGGGTTTGAGGTTTAGGGTTTAGGGTTTAGGGGTTAGGGTTTAGGGTTTAGGGTTTAGGGTTTAGGGTTTAGGGTTTAGGGTTTAGGGTTTAGGGTTTAGGGTTTAGGGTTTAGGGTTTAGGGTTTCGGGTTTCGGGTTTAGGGTTTAGGGTTTAGGGTTCAGGGTTCAGGGTTCAGGGTTCAGGGTTCAGGGTTTAGGTTTCAAACTTTGGCTATGAAATTTCATCCCCATCTCTTATTAAGGCACCTTAAGGAAGCACCCTCACTTCGAGAGTAGGCCCCAATCCCTGCGGCTCTTTTTAAGTCTTCAAAACTCGCCGGTGGAGCAGCACCTCGCGATTGCGAGGGGCAGGCCAGGTCCCCCTAAACCCTAAACCCTAAACCCTAAACCCTAAACCCTAAAACCCGAAACCCTAAAACCCGAAACCCTTCATCCTGTGTGCCAACCCAAAGCGCTAAACCCATGCGTTTTAGGGTCCTTAAGGGGGGCCCAAGGGTCCCTAATTCCCTAAGGCTCCCTAAGATTCCCTAACCTGTAAACTCCGCACACTCGACATTTGGAAGCGCAGGACTAGGGTTGGCTAAAGGAGCATTTAACAAACACATGCTGAAAACCATGTTCACTTGTACTTAGCCTAAACCCTAAACCCTAAACCCTAAACCCTAAACCCTAAACCCTAAACCCTAAGGCATCGGAGGGACCTGGCAGAAGACCGCCCCATTTTGCTTGGGGGGGGATTGTTTCCTCCGCTTTCGGCACGTTGCCTCTGCCTCTGGTCTTTCCAGGGCGCTGGCGTTATTTAGGGTTTAGGGTTTAGGGTTTAGGGTTTAGGGTTCAGGGTTCAGGGTTCAGGGTTCAGGGTTCAGGGTTCAGGGTTTAGGATTTAGGGAGTTGGAAGGGCTTGGGGTTAAGGGTTGTGAGGGTTAAGGGCACTGAGGGTGGAGGGTTTTGAGGGGTTGAAGTCTATCAGGGCTTCTAAGGGGCATGAGGGTGCTCTGGCTGGGGAGTGCCAAGCGAATTTAAATCGCTTTCATGTAGTGTGCATGGGAGCGTGAGACAGGCATGTCGGCGTCAGAGATAGAAAAGTCTGCGGCTCAGGGTTTAGGCCACCATCGGAAGTCATCTAAACCCTAAACCCTAAACGCAAAACCGAGGGGTTGGTGCTTGGGGCTCACGACGTTAAACGCACCCGGTTCGACGTCGACCTCCGCATTTTGCAGGAGCCGAAGACCCGGCAGGGCGATTGCCAGGTTTGGGGTTGAGGGGTTAAAGGGTTTAGGGTTTGGGGTTTAGGGTTTAGGGGTTAAGGTGTAGGGCTCAGGGGTCTGGGCGATATGCTCATGACGTACATTGGCCAGGCCGGCCCTCAGACAGGAAGCCGCAAGAACCCCAAAAGCCCACGACCCTGACAAAGACCTCAAGGCCCTAAAACTGCGTGGGATTCAGTGTAATTATGAAAAACGTTTCTTAAGTTCTGAAACCCTGAGCCCTAAACCTAAACGTAAACCTAAACCTTGAACCTAAACCCTAAACCCTAAACCCCAAACCTCTGCAAAGTGTTCACCCCCCACCCCAAGATGATGAAATCGGGCGTCGGGGTTGGATTCTGGTCCTGGGCGGGGCTCAGTGGGGCTCTTTGGGTTTAGGGTTTAGGGTTTAGGGTTTAGGGTGGTTTAGGGTGGTTTAGGGTGGTTTAGGGTGGTTTAGGGTGGTTTAGGGTGGTTTAGGGTTGTTTAGGGTTGTTTAGGGATGTTTAGGGTTTAGGGTTTTGGGGCTTCGGGCTTAGGGTTTAGAGCTGCTTGCGTCCTGCCATCCTCGGGCCGCGGATCAGAGAGCATCGAATTAGATTCAAAATGTGCCGTGTCATGAATGAAGACCCTAGCAACCTAAACGCTGAACCCCAAGCCCTAAGCCCGAAGCCCTAAACCCTAAACCCTAAACCCTGCACCCTGTACCCTAAACCCGAAACCCTGAACCCTAAACCCGAAACCCTAACCCCTAAACCCTGAACGGCATAGGCTCGTCTGAAGTCCCCTTTGAGGGGGCAAATGGGCGTGCATCCATGCGCACCCTGGACAAGTTCTTCACAGTCCATGTGATCTTAGTGTTTCGGGTTTAGGGTTTAGGGTTTAGGGTTTAGGGTTAGGGTTAGGGTTAGGGTGTGGGGTTTAGGGTTTAAGGTTTAGGGTTTAGTGTTTAGGGTTTAGGGTTTAGGGTTTCGGGCTCCCTGCCCAGGGTTTGGGGCTTCGACCTTCCTTAAACCTTGGTTGTCCAGGGCTCGTCTGTCTATAACTCGAAAAATCCCCGATGCTGGTCTGCGCGTTGCGAATTTGCACAACAGCCTCAGGAAAACCCCAAACCCCAAACCCCAAACCCCAAACCCTAAACCCTAAACCCTAAACCTAAAGCCTAAGTTTAGGGTTTAAGGGTTAAGGGTTAAGGGTTTAGGGTTTAGGGTTTAGGGTTTGGGGTTTGGGGTTTAGGGTTTAGAGATCATTGCCTTTGATCAATCCTGAAGAAAAAAACGCAGCTCCAGCGGAAGAGCCTCCCAAAACAAACTTTATGGAAACTCGAATCTGAAAGCCTCAGGGCTAGGATTTATAAGAGGTTTAGGGGTTTAGGTTTTAAGGTCGAGGGTCTAGGGTTTAGGGTTAAGGGTTTAGGTTTGGACTTCGAGCTTCCTAGGCCTGTGACGGCTTACTTGCCTACCAGTTTACGGCGTACTTGTATCGGCAGTATAAGGGTATCGACACTGGTAATTCTTTGCTAGACCCAAGGAGGGGTAAAGGCCCAAGGAGGGGTAAAGGCCTACTCTGGGTCCTAGCCCCTTTCACCTAAACCCTACCCCGCCAACCCTAAACAAAAACACAAAACAAAACACAAAAGGAATAAGGGACTTAGGCCTGTGCACTACTTGAGGAGCCAAGCGGGGACCTTCTCAGGCCCCGATCACGGAGCCATGGATGAAGCCTTGCAACTGGTTTCAAAGTGCGCAGGCGAGGGGCTTCTAGGGCTTATATGGGGTTTATGGGTAGCGGTCAAGGGACCTAACCCTGATAGACTTAGGGCTGCATTTGGGAATTCAGGGCTATAGTAGGGTTTGGGGGGTCAGGGCTTCGGGAAATTTTGGGAATGTGCTTGCTTGCTATGTGAGCGTTGAGAGGCTTTATTTGCGTCAACCTCCGACGACGAAGTCGCTTTTGGGTTTAGCCACGCCTCTTTTCACGGTGTAGGACTCCCCGCTCACATTACTACATGCTCTGCATGTCTGAGTGAGAAGCAACTGCCGATCGCAAAAGCAGAATGCTGGCCTTTTTCAAATGGCCAGTTGATGATCCCCTTCGCTTGCGTTTCCGAGGATGGCCCCAGAAACCTTCTGAAAAGTATTCCTGAATATGATCCTCTAGAACCCAAATAAGGGATGATATGACCCTCTAGAACCCCATAAGGGATGATATGATCCTATAGAACCCCATAAGGGATGATGTAACATGTTTCAAGGGCCGACCTAACTTCTGTCCACGAAACGCCTCGCCCGACGTCGCGATCTTAGGGTTTAGGGTTTAGGGTTTAGGGTTTAGGGTTTAGGGTTTTAGAGGCTTTGCCTCAGTCGCCGAAGGCCCCTCACGTGGGGCCCGCCTGTCCCACCACAACAGCCTCTACAAAGATGGGTTCTCCTGTGGGTTGATTTACATCATTTCCTGTGGGTTCTCCTGTAGCTTCCTGTGCATGTGGGACTTGCGGATCCGTGGGCCTCTCTTCGTCCTCGACGTCGATGTAGTTGCCTCGGGGTTTAGACAGGGGAACTGCCAAGAACAAAAGCACCGCGCCGGCGATGTCCAGGAAGTCCACGAGCCCCCACAATGCGTCGGAGGCAACGGCGATGGCGGAGGACATGGTCACCAGGGCAAGCCCGATGTATGCGGGCACGTTCCTGAGGTGTAGCTGCTGGCACGGCTTCACGACCTTGTGCGCCCGGCAGTAGAGGCACCGGGAGGTTAGGATGGTCAGCCCTATCGCATCAGAAAGCAAGGCGAAGCCGAAGAGCATGGCGGCCATGGGCCTCTCAGTTCCCGCAATGGCTGCCGTCGTGACACTCATGGCAGCTAGGACCGCAAGGATGCCCACGAGAAAGAAGAAGAGCATCTGGAGTCCGTAGCACGCCGCGAGGTATTCGCAGTTGCATTGGATGACTTCCGGATCATCTTCTTCATCCTGCCGTGCCATGGCGCCGCCCGGCTACCCGCGGCGTGACCTGCTATCCCCCGAAACCATAATTTCATATTAAGGGCAACCAGTTTTGGGGTTGGTTACTTGATAAGGGAACCCAGAACACAAAAAAAAAAAGGGGGTTCAGGGTATTACCGGGCTACATGGAAAGAAAAGAAGCCCGGCGCCTTCCTTGAAGTCGTCTGGGGCCGTGCCCCAACCCTCAGAGCCAATGAGTCGAGAAAAGTTTGCCCCTAAACCCTAAACCCTAAACCCTAAACCCTAAACCCTAAGCCCCGGGAAGCAGAAGAAGGTACAACAGTTCGCGACCTGACATCATTGGGGGGGGGGGGGGGGGGGGGAGGGGTTCCGAAATTTCGGGGTGCCCTTTATGGGGGTTTCTATAGGCAGCATCGTATGTTGGGGTATGTTGGGGGATGTATTTTCGGAACCAGATCGTGTCGGAGGCCCCCGTAAACTACCCTGAAGTTATGCATCTTCCCCGAATCAGAATGGGGATCCTGATGTCAACTGTGGTCTCAATCTCTGTTCCTGAACGAAGGGTTCTAAGCGCTCTGCAACCATCCCCCCCCTCCCCCCGCCCCCCCAGGTTTCGTGCCTAAACCGTGACCCCTGAACCCTCAACCCTGATCCCTACACCCCAAAACCCATTCTAGCAACCCAGACACTATCTACAACTCCTTGAAACCCGCAACAGGTCGGCGGTCTGCTAGGTTCATATGGTCAGTTCTCAACATGACAGACCCTTTTTAAAATTGCCCTAAATATGATGGGCCGCCTTATGATAGTAGCCCCAAAAGGGACCCCAAGTTCGAGCCTCCTATAAAGACTCTTATCAGCGAAGGACGGGGAGGGGGGGGGGGGTCTTGGGAGAGGGCTTTCGGAGGCTGATGGCGCAATCAGCTTGGGGATCGCCAACCCCAAAGGTTTAGGGCGGGCTTTGGGTTCAGGGTTCAGGGTTCAGGGTTTAGGGTTTAGGGTTTAGGGTTTAGGGTTTAGGGTTTAGGGTTTAGGGTTTAGGGTTTAGGGTTTAGGGTTTAGGGCTTAGGGTTTAGGGTTTAGGGTTTAGGGTTTAGGTTTAGGGCTTAGGGCTTGGGGCTTGGGGCTTGGGGTTCAGGGCCTCGGGCTTTAAAAAAAGAGGGTTTGTAGGGCATTCGGCCTGGGGTTCAGGACTGGGAGCTGCCTGAACCCTAACCCCTGAACCCTAAAACCTACTAAACCCTAAACCCTAAACCCTAAGCCCTAAACCCTAAACCCTAAACCCTAAACCCTAAACCCTAAACCCTAAACCCTAAACCCTAAACCCTAAACCCTAAACCCTAAAACCCTAACCCTAAACCCGAAACCCTCCTGACAACTCGCAGATCACATCGAGTCCGTCCCTCCTGATCGGCCGATGACGCTGTGGCACTGGACATCAGGACCTTGGGAGCCCCGGGGATCTTGGCCCTTAACCCGTAGGGTTTAGAGTTTAGGGTTTAGGGTTTAGGGTTCAGGGTTCAGGGTTTAGGGTTTAGGGTTTAGGGTTTAGGGTTTAGGGTTTAGGGTTTAGGGTTTAGGGTTTAGGGTTTTAGGGTTTAGGGTTTAGGTTTAGGGTTTAGGGTTTAGGGTTTATGGGTTAGGGTTTAGGGTTTAGGGTTTAGGGTTTAGGGTTTTTAGGGTTTAGGGTTTAGGGTTTAGGGTTTAGGGTTTAGGGTTTAGGGTTTAGGGTTTAGGGTTTAGGGTTTAGGGTTTAGGGTTTAGGGTTTAGGGCTTAGTTTGTAGCTTGCATACAGATACTTATCCGCAAGAAGCCATGCTAATGAAACATAAATCTAACAGATCAGAGAGAGAACCGGGCTCGCCCGATTCGCTTCAAGCCGGCAAGTGAAACTGGGAGTCCGATCAATCAGCTCACCAGCTGGGTTCAGGCTCTTGGGATGAAGGTTTAGGGTTTAGGGTTTAGGGTTTAGAGTTTAGGGTTTAGGGTTTAGGGTTTAGGGTTTAGGGTTTAGGGTTTCCAGCATTTGACCACCCCCCTTTTAGGGTGCGCAGTAGATAAAGTCGTCGACGCTGCAGCTGGAAAAAGCCATAAAGCCTGAAACCTGAACCACCAAGCCCCCAAGCCCCCAAGCCCCCGAGCCCCCGAGCCCCCAAGCTCCCAAGCTCCCACGCCCGCAAGCTTCCCGGAGCGGCCGAGCCCCCCAGCCCCGAAGCCCCGAAGCCCCGAAGCCCCAAGCTTTAGTTCCCTCAGCTCCCTGAGAAACCTTTGCGGTTTGGGCTTGAGGTTTAGGGTTCAATGCTTAGGGTTGAACTAAACCCTAAATCCTACAAACAAAACCCAAGTCCTAAACCCCAAGCCCTAAACCCTAAAACCCTAAACCCTAAAACCCTAAAACCTAAACATAATATTGATAAGCACTGTGTGCTGCCTGTGTCCCAACATGCCTCCCGCACCTTTGCAGAAACTTCGTTCCGGCACTACAACGACGTGGCTGACTGTGAGGCTTTTCGCTGTCACATCCGCCCATCCCCCCCCCCCCCTGTTGACATGTCCCTTCACAGCCTCAAAATCCAAAGCCGTCCTTGCCGCGGAACATTTGCTCAAGCTGCTGCGACAAGTCATAGGTTGCTGATGTTGCTGCATCTGGAATGCCCGTTGCCAATAGCGTCCCCCGTAGTTTCCACCAATCTGCCGCTGCCAGCTCTTTTTTGCCCATACTTGCGCCATGGTCAAGACAGCAGGCAGCAGCAGCTGCCACAGCATCCCTTGACAAGCGCCGACACGCGAGGAGGACCTTGAGGAGAGACTCGCTAGAGTAGTGCAAGGATTTGGAATTGGCCTGAGCGCCTTCGCCAAGCAAGACCCTGATGCCCTCAATGTCAATGCCCTGCGTTTTTTGCAGGCCTTGTCAAGCATGCTGCTCAATGTCAATGCCCTGCGTTTTTTGCAGGCCTTGTCAAGCATGCTGCTAACTTTCTAGGCGGCGCCGCCCATCTGCGATACTGCATACCATTCACCCTGGCTGTCAGACACCAAACCACCATCCGAGCTGCTGGAGCTCTTGCGGGTGCTCCTCAAAGCTGTACCTGTCACCCTCAACAAGTTCACGGCTTGCCGGACGGTCTTCTCAGGCAAGTGCTTCGACTTCAGCAACACAAGCATGAGCGAAACTTGAGCGTATGTGAGGCTTTTCGCTGTCACATCCGGCCCCCTGTCGACATGTCCCTTCACAGCCTCAAGGTTGAAAGCCGTCTTGCCTCGGAACATTTGCTCAAGCTGCTGTGACAGGGCCCACGTTGCATGCCTCTTCGGCTTCTCCTCGTCTTGCGACAGGATTTGTCGGCGTCTGCGAGCATGCTGCGGATAGCAGCCTTGGATGATGTCCCGGAGTGCGACAACTACGGGCGGCTTCTCTCGAAGAGGGGGGTCGATCCGGCAGCTGGCTACTGGACAAAGTGAGAGGCCTTGCACGGTACAACATCGTGAAATCCACTGCTCCTCAGTCAAGGCAGCTTGTGCAGAGCGTGTGCCCGCAAGGAGAGCCCTCGAAAAAAGGGCGCCTTGCTTGGCTCTGGCTCGAAATGCCATGATGCCATCGGCGAAGAAGCGATTGGCTTCCTCGCCGATGGCAGCATGGCATTTCGAGATAGTGGGGCAGGGCTTTTGGCGACGGCCATGGCCCCAGGTGGCCGGAGCCCAGAGAAAGCATTTCTTAGTAGGGAATGAGGGAATGACGTACCCTATAGAATCCGTTAGCGAGCATATAGGGGGACATAAGGTTCCGAATTCCCCCATTGCCTACAGAGAACCAGGAGGTAAAGCCTTTTCAGGGTCGTGCTGCAGAGGTTGACGCCACCGGCTCACGAATGTAATGATTGCCAGCAAGGTGTGGCGGCAGTGCCTCTTCGACAACTGCACTTCGCAGAAGACAACCACCAGCAGTGCGCCCGCAGAGAACCCCATTGCTGGAGGGGGACACAATTCTTGCGGAGGGTCTCAGTGCACTCAAGGTGAGCCTTTCGAGAAATTGCCCAACATATTTTAGAGTCCCATCGAAACTTTGTGGGGCAAGATCCCTTTCTGCAAGAGGTGCGGGACCCCAGCCATCAATCCTCAAATCCACAACTGGCCCAAAACCCTCGGTCTTGCGGCGAAGGCTTCACATGGACTTACGGGCCTGGAGGTCAGGAGTTGAGGGTCGAGGCTCCATGGCTTGAGTTGGTACGAGGGGTAGGGTTTTAGGGCCCCAAAGCGTAAGCTGACGGCACCACGCAGAAGACTCTGCGGCAGATGCCCTCTCAGCGCGCCGCATCCGAAGATTTGATGGGGCCGAAGGAGCCCGCCTGCGCGCAGGCTGCGCTTAGTTAGGACGTGAGATGAGGCGGAAGACTCATGAATCTAGTCCCTGCTCCTCTGGCAAGACTTCATGAAAAGACCCCCCAAAGCCTCCTGCAAGACCAAGATAGGAGAGAGTTAGGGTCTCAAGATGTGACCGGGAGAGAGTGCAAGGGCTTAGGTGCTTAAGTAATATTTTATCACTTTTCAGGACCCGTTTGCTCTCTTCCCAACCTTACCAACCTACGAATGAAAATTGGGATCTTGGCAAATGAAAGATCGCAGCCGCCCAATGAAGAGATATCATTAGCAGGGCGCACACATACGGCTGTTACTGGATTTAGGGTTTAGGGTTTAGGGTTAATGTTTAGGGTTTAGATTTAGGGGATAAGGGTTACCGCAAGCAAAAGACCCGAAAAAAAACAGTATAATCAATGGGTTTAGGGTTTAGGGGTGAGGGTTGAGGGTTGAGGGTTGAGGGTTGAGGGCTGAGGGTTGAGGGTTGAGGGTTGAGGGTTGAGAGTTGAGGGTTGAGGGTTTAGGGTTTAGGGTTGAGGGTTTAGGGCTCTGACGCAATGTAAACGCGCAAAATGCACGTGCCGATTACACCGGTATTTACAGCGTTTCGTGTGCTTGACATGCCGAAAACACCACTGGCGTCAGTGTTTTCGCCGCGTGCGATTTCCACGTTCTCAGGTATGTGGAAAACATGGTTATTTGCGATGTTTCGCGTGTTTTCGAGGCCAGAAACATCGCTATTTGCGATGTTTCGCATGTGTTAGAGCCCAAACACCTTATATGTCCATGCCGCACGATGATAACGTAGGGAAGGCGTCTGCTTAAAACCCCATGCGAAGCCTCTCATTGTGTTGCAAGTTTAAGAACCCAGAACCCTTACCTTAACTTTAAGCTTTCACACCCTCAAATCGACACTTCTATCAAGCACCGCGAGCATACGACACATAAATTCCCGTCGGCCACTCCGTACTATTTGTTTGCAGTACGCGCAAAAAAGTTCAGCCTGATTTGAAGGCACTTTTTGCTACCGCTAATGACACCACCTGCGTCTGATTCACACGCTGGCCACGTTTTTCTAAGGTTTTCCGACTCCTTGAGTAGCGCGGCGCGTGTTTACGTCGCGTCCAAGCGTTGTTATAGTTTACGGTTTAGAGTTTACGGTTTAGGGTTAAGGGTTTAGGGTTTAGGGTTTAGTGTTTAGGGCAACCAATGAAAACTGCATTTATATCCCACGTAGAAGTCCCTTAATTACCCTAATGTGGGTACAGTTGGGCTATGAGTTTAAGGCCTTAATAATTAGATCATTTTTCTTTTTTTTTTGTTGGGGGGGGGGGGGGTGTTATTATAGTATATTTACTGGGGGAATTTAAAGGAATACCATTAGTACCTATTCCGGCCCTTATAGGTTGGGGGGGTTTGGAGTTTAGGATTTAGGGTTTAGGGTTAGGGGTTGGGGATTAGGGGTGTGGTTTTGGGGCTTGGGTTTTTGGACGATTTGTGCCTAGCTGAGTCCAGTCGGAACATCTTCAGAGCTTGCTCGAATTCGGCAACTTAATCCCCTTAACCCTAAACCCTAAGACCCTACAAACCCTAAACCCTGAGACCCTAGACCCTAAACCCGAAACTCGAAACCCTGAACCCTGAAGCCTAAACCCTAAGCCCTAAACCCTAAACTCCAAACCCCAAACCCTAACCCCCAAACCCTAACCCCCAACTCCCAACCCAGAAGCTCATCTCAGGCCTCTGCTCCACCGACCTGCGACCCCGACATGCCTCAGCTTCTTCCAGCTTGGGATCTCTTGGCCGGAATCCCTGTCCCTCAACCCTTAAACCTGAAACCCTAAATTTAAAACCTTAAACACAAAAGCCCAGTAAACCCAGAATCCCATCCTTAAGCCCATCTGGAACCCTGGACTTCCTCAAACCCTAAACCCTTAAACCCTAAAACTTGGGATGTTTCCCTTTTGTTCTAGCAGTCCTTAATCGGGACGATAGTACCCCCGACTAGAATCCCTACTAAGGACTGCTAGTATAAGGGGGAACATCCCAACACAATCCCTAAACCACTCTATCCTACATCATATAGGCGCTAGGCCGGGCAAGGTCATATCAACAGCGTGCAAGGTCATCAAAAAGACGGCAAGGTAATATGGACCTTGCCCGCCTAAACCCCAAACCCCACAACTCGGTTAGACTGTGCAGCCCGAGGGCAACTTCGGGGTTTCGGGCGACTTAGGGTTCAGGGCGCAGGGCTTAGGGCTTAGGGCTTAGGGCTTAGGGCTTAGGGCTTAGGGCTTAGGGCTTAGGGCTTAGGGCTTAGGGCTTAGGGCTTAGGGCTTAGGGTTTAGGGTTTAGGGTTTAGGGTTCAGGGTTTAGCGTTTAGGGTTTAGGGTTTAGGGTTTAGTTTTTTTATCGCTATACGAGAGCCCAGTCCCATAAAACAAAACAGTCGCAGGCACACCTTTCTTTTTGTATCCGGAAGCGTGGGGGTGGATTCAGACTGCGTCCAGTTAGTGCCACTGGCAAAACGACTAAGCTCACTTTGAGCTGTTCGTCATACGCTGTCCCCCTGGTACGTTACGAACGTACTGGCGGCAACAGTTGCGACAAAAGACCATGCCCCGACGCTGTCGGCTGCATTGCCAGTGCTTCTGGCCGCCGTTTTCACGGCCGTACCACTGGCAGTCGTTGCATTGGAAGGGAACGTCCCTTAACAGGTTCAAACGCGCATCGCACTGCGGGCAACACATAATCGAGACCGGTGCCGGCGAGGCAGCGGGTCGTGCTTTAGCCTTGGGAGGCACCGGGGGATTCCTCGGGCACTGCCCGGCCTTGGGGTACTCCTTGGCGCGGCGTCTGTGCACTGGCCGACGTCTTTGCTTTGACTGGGGCACTGCCCCCTTGCTCGAATGATCGTTCAGGCGCCTGACTCGAGGCACTGCCAGGTTCCTGTTGTCCTGAAGCCTTTCCATGGCCCACTGGGCGGGACTTAGCGACGTCGCCTTCCTCGCTGAAACGTCTGCCCGCGTAACGTGGCACCACTGTTACGGCCTTTGGGTGCACCTGCCCCTCTGACTGCGGAACTTCCGCCGGAGACTCCACAGGAGACGTGGGGGTGGCCGACTCGGCGCTCTCCGCCCCCGGAGCTGCTGTGTTAACCCCCTCTTAAGGGTGGGGCCTCAGGCTCCAAAGTTACTGTACAGGCACCTCACCGGAAGGGAGGTTTTTGCACACCTCACCCAGTGGGGAGGTTTTTCATCACAGGTTTTTTCATCATAGTGATCGTGGAGTGGGAAGTGTGCAATGTGTAGGTGTTGTCAGCATGTTCAGTGCAAATGGGAGTTTAGCTTGGCCCAGGTGTGCAGGGCAAAGTCAGCTCCAAAGAGTTTGAAGTGGCAAGGAGTGGTGTGTACTTTCGGATCGAAAGAAAAAGTTGGCAAAAGGTATTTACTGCAATTTGCACAAGAGCGCAAGAGAAGTTGGCGGTTAAGAGCGCCAAGATCAGTAAGAACAGGTCGGCTCTTATCGACAAGAAGCGGTAACATTGTTGTGTGCGTTGTCCCATGCCTCTTCTGATGGAGATAAGGCCCAGACATCTTGGTGAGTGCGGGGCGTTGTAGCCTCAGCACACAATGAAGGTGGCCAGCAGTGGCACTGATAACGAAGAACAGCATGGCGTAACAGGAGAGTTGCATAACGGCGACACAAATCACGTGCAGTAGTGGCATTTGAAAGCACAACATCGCTTTACTATCTTCGGTAGTCCTGCGCAATCGAGCATTTTCGTCCAGATAGGATGCAGCAGCTTTGCTTGTTGCAGAGAAATGTGTAGACAGGGGTCGTGCATGATCAATTTGGACCGTCTGCACGGTTGAGACGCGCTTTTTTGGCCAAGTGAGCTTTAGCCCACTCCTGTCCTGCTTTCCTGGCTGCCTTCTGCACTTCCTTGGAGGGTCTGGGTCGTCTCACATGATCTAAATCAGTTTGGTGTTCCTTGATCTCCTCGTAGGGTAGGTAGCGCAGGAAGTCGTACATTGCTGTCTTTACTTCATGCAGGCACTGTTCCATCTTCATCAGCTCCTTCGGGTCTTCCGGCGTGATGTTCTGCTTCTGTGCTTCTCTTGTGATGATTTCTTTGAGCAAACTCATGAGGATATCACGCTCAGCGGGAGTGATGTGGGCCATGTCAGGCCCTGTTGGACAGGGCAGCACACTTCAGAGTGGAGATGTCAAGGGATTATGTAGATACGGTCCAGGCTGACGGAGGTCGATGACCTGTGCGCAGGAGTCATTGCTCGCTGTGTTTGAGCACAAGATTTGGCGGTGTTCGATTGCTATGCATTGGCTGTCCGCAAGTGGAAAGCGCACTCGGCAGCTAGCATCACATGGAGGCAGCAGCCGCGGAAAGCTCAGTGCGGGGCGGACAACGTATGGATGCAGGAAAGACATCCGACCTGGGACAGGTCACAGCTCACAGTACAGTGCACAGTGGTGGCGGGAGAGCGTTGGAAGGTGCAGCGCTTTTTTCTGCACTAAGACATGTGTCAATCATCGGCAGAGATTCAGCCGAGTACGGCCAGTCAATTGCATAGAAAATGCAAGATGACAGTAAGGAGTGATGTAAGTGTTATCTTGGAGGCGCAGGAAAGAAGTTTATGGGGACGATTAGGGGGAGCAATTCTGTGTGTGGAATAAAATTTGTAGGGAGTGTGGAAAAAGGTCAGTAGAGGGTTTATGATAAATCACGGACCGTGCCACGAGATGTGTGGCTCAGGGATCCATCGTGCCGAGATCTCTGGTCTGCGATTGAGGAGCTCCTGAAAGGTACCTGAAAAGTTGCTCAGCATCAGACCCAGGAGTGAGGAGCCAATGCGATCCTCTGTCATATGGCTGAAGTTCAAGGGAGAAGTGCTGCCACCAACGAATCACACCTTCAAGACGATGTAATAGGGCGCAGACGTGTAATCTGTCCTGGACGGCAAAGGTCCCCAAGGTTGCATGTGGGGTCTGTATCATCGGGATCGTGGGTACATCAAGGGCCACTCCAACGTAGAGCTCGGCTTTCTCATTCACATCTATCCACACCGTGCAGGATATGACTGGATGTCTTTGTCGGCAGACTGCCAGTTGCGTTGCATGAAAATGTTCTTCAAGTTTTTCGTCTCCGAGTGACACATATGCGCTTCTTGGCTCTCGAGCCTCGGCCATTCTCAACCTCGTGGCCTGGGTGTGCGGTAATGAGCCACCTTCGCTCATCAAGCTGCAGGATTGGTAGCGAAAAATCACAAAAGGCGGTGCGGTAAGCATCGGGAAAGTCTGTTGGACAATTGGCTTGAGCCACGTAAAGCAGTTTGTCAATGTTCACATGTTTGGCACGGTCCATCTTCGGGATCGCAGCGACAATACTCCAAAGCATGGGTGCTGGCTAGGAGTAGCCAGCGGGGGGGGGGGGGGGGGGGGGGGGGGGGGGGGGGGGGGGGGGAGGGGAGGGCCAGTTTTATGAGATTCCAGAGATTTGGCGACGCTTGAAATTTCAGCCCCTTCGACTTGTCGCACCTCAAACTGACAGTTTGCTTTTCCGCACAGCAGCCGGCTCCATCCGCAGAGCAGAAAACTCAAAAAAAGAAGGCTCGGGCCGATACTCTTGCTTGAGCCAAAATGGCTGGGTTTAGGGTTTCGGGTTTACGGTTTCGGGTTTAGGGTTTAGGGTTTAGGGTTTGGGGTTTGGGGTTTGGGGTTTGGAGTTTGGAGTTTAGGGTTTAGGGTTTAGGGTGTAGGGTTTAGGGTTTAGAGAAGCCTCAAGCTCTGAACCCCTCAAACCCCGAAAAGCAGCGAGGTCGCCAAGCCCCCGGCTGCTCCCTCTGTTCTTCCTGAGGAGGTTCTTCGGGTTCGTTGGCCGCCCGTTCTTTCGTTGTTTTGGGAGGGTTTGGGGTTTAGGGTGTGGGGTTCAGGGTTTGGGGTTTAGGGTTTAGGGTTCAGGGTTTAGGGTTTAGGGGTTAGGGTTTAGGAGGGCTGTTGGGGTAGTGTAGGGGTGTTGGAGTGCGACAGGGCGTCAGGCTCGTGAGGGTCGTTTGTCAAGGCGGGGGCATCGGGAGACTTCGGGGTTCGGAGTGGGCTTTGGGGTTTTGACGGTCAAGGGGTCTGTATATCTATGCACTTATACTATATGTATATATATGTATATGTATATGTATATGTATATGTATATGTATATGTATATGTATATGGCATGTATGCATATGTTTCAAGATAGATCGGCAGATGTAGATATCGATAATGTGCGCGTAGGCGCGCATGTATAGTGTAGACAGATATCAACTACGAACTGCTAAACACCGGCCCCAAAGACGCAAAACTCCTAAAGCCCGAAGCGCAAGGATGGTTGCGCAGCTTTTTCGTCCCGGTTAAGGGTTTAGGTTTCAGGGTTTAGGGTTTAGGGTTGAGGGTTTAGGGTTTGGGGTTTGGGGTTTAGGGTTTAGGGTTTAGGGTTTAGGATTTAGGGTTTCAGGTTTAGGGTTTAGAGCTTAGGGCTTAGGACTCCGAAACGCATGGGTGCGCGGCAGAATGGAGGGGAGTTTGGAGAAGGTCTGCTTCATGGAAGAGAAGTAGCCTCAGGCAAATCAGAGCTCAACATGTCGGCATGGGACGATGGGTCGTGGGGGGGTTGGTGCCTTGAACCTTCATTGTGCCACGACCTTCAGGGCTTAGGGTTTAGGTCTTTTTGGGGGTGTGTTAGGGTTTAGGGTTTAGGGCTTAGGGCTTAGGGGTTTAGGACCCCTGAACCTTAAGCCCTGTTTTCCGGGTGTCCACAGATAGTGAGGGCCTGGCCCTTTTTAGGGGGATTATAGTATCCCCTGATATAATCTCAACTAAGGACTGTTGGTATAAGGGGGAACATCCCAACCGAAACCCTAAACCCTAAACCCTCAACCCTAAACCTGGCTAAGCCCCTAAGGCCCGGGCCTTTCTTCCTGGTGATGCTCTCCCGATGTCCCATGTCAGGCTCGCCAGACCTGCCACTTTTTGCGTCGGCTCTCCCTTAAGTTCCTCTGGGGTCTCTAGGGTTTAGGGTTTAGGGTTTAAGGTTTAGGGCTTAGGGTTTAGGGTTTAGGGTTTCGAGTTTTGGGTTTAGGGCTTAGGGAGAAGGGCTTAGGGCTTAGGGCGGGACAGGCAATGTGGTGCGCAACCCCCCCCCCCCCCGTGCGCAGCGAGCTGCTCGGAGGCCGCGAACAAACCCGACGGGCAGACTCGACGGCGCCCGCCCTGCGATGCAATCAAAGGTTGACGGTTTAGGGTTTAGGGTTTAGGGTCTCATGGTTTAGGGTTGAGAGTTTAGGGTCTTAGGGTTTAGGGTTTAGGGTTTAGGGTTTAGGGTTTAGGGTTTAGGGTTTAGGGTTTAGGGTTTAGGGTTTAGGGTTTAGGGTTTAGGGTTTAGGGTTGAAGGTTTAGGCCACCCCTCCCCGCCCCTGTGGTGTGGGGTGTGGTTGGAGGCCAGAATCCCAAACCCGGATTCCTGAACATCGCCAGTGTCCCCCAAGAGGCCCTGATACAGGAGCCTACATAATTACCAATACTATATCCCTGTAAAATATAAAAATAAACCCCTTAAGAGCCTAAGACCCTAAACCACAAAGAAACAACCCTGCGCCCTTTAAGACCCTACGACTCCCAAACCCCCAAGCCCTAGATCCCTCCAAGGATAGTTACATGCTCCCTTGGTATGGTCCCTTACCTTAAAAAGGTTCTGAAGTAAAGGCCCTTGGGTTTGCACGTTTACAACGGGGTATGTAAGGGGTCCCCATTTAAGGGCCCATACGAAGGGACCGTGGAACTGCCCCCCGGCCTCCGTGCCAGGTCCTTGAGGGCAAGACTCAAATTCTCTTCGATGGACTCCTGCATTCGCCTCAGACGTCCCTAAACCATAAATCCTAAATCCTAAACCCTAAACCCTAACCATAAACCCTAAACCCTAAACCCTAAGTGGGTGGGTGGGTGGGGGGTTTAGGCTTAGGGCCCCTGTAGGGAACCCACAGTCCCTGAGCCCCTTCAACTCCACCAAGCCCTCAACACCTGACAAACCCTGAACCCCCCAGAACCCCGAAAATGCCCCCCTGAAATACCGGCAAAGCAACCCCCTCATACCCCTAAACACCCTGAATACCCCTAGAGGCCCCTGAACAACCCTAAACACTAAACCCTAAACCCTGAACCCTGAACCCTAAACCCTAAACCCTAAACCTTAAACCCTAAACCCTAAACCCTAATTAAACCCTAAACCCTACCGTAAGGCCCGAGCTTGGAGTCCTGCATCCAGAGGTGCTGCAGGATGCGCCCGCAGTTCCAGACCTGTTATTGAACAACACGTCTTGTCTAAGCTCTCGCTGTTGGTTTAGGGTTTAGGGTTTAGGGTTTAGGGTTTAGGGTTTAGGGTTTAGGGTTTAGGGTTTAGGGTTTAGGGTTTAGGGTTTAGGGTTTAGGGTTTAGGGTTTAGGGTTTAGGGTTTAGGGTTTAGTTTAGGGTTTGGGGTGTAGGGTTCTTACTGTAGGTGAGTAGGTAACGAGGGAATGAGGTAGCCTCTATCCCCCTAACAACACCCTTTAAGGGATTATATAGGGTACCTCATTCCCTCATTCCCTGCTACCCAAACAGTAAGAGGTTGGAACCATGGGCCCTTAGTATGGTCCCTTACCCTTGCTTAAAGGGATGTTACAGGGATCCGAAGTATGGGCCCATTTATGTATAGTGTATACAAGGGTTATAGAACAGTGGACCCAAGTTAAGGGCCCAAACTTCGGATCCCCTATTTTGGTACAGTCCCGAATGGCCCCAGGGGCTTCAGGGTTTGAGGCTGAGGGTTTAGGGTTTCGGGTTTAGGGTTTAGGGTTTCGGGTTTAGGGTTTCGGGTTTAGGGTTTAGGGTTTAGAATAGGGTTTCGGGTTGATGTAGAGGCCCGAATCCGAAAGACCACGCCGGCGCCAACGCACGACCTTTTTCAGAAGCGGAAGAGTCGCATGGCAGCAGGAAAGAACTTGTGTGTACTACATGTGTACAGTGTACACACACGCAGGTATGCATATGTTTACATTATGAATTATATTTATCTGTAAAGAGAGAGAGAGAGAGAGAGAGAGAGAAACTGTGCAACTATATATATATATATATACATGTGTATATATATATACATACATACATGTACAACTCTATATAATATTTATAAGTTGCTCCTACACGGTATATGCAACCCTGTGGTGCACTTCCACACGCTGAGAGCCCAGAACTCTGATCCCTCAGCCCTAAACCCTAAACCCTAAACCCTAAACCCTAAACAGGGCCCCCCGACGATCCAGAAGAAGACTGGGAAGGAGAAGCTGATGACGAAGCCCGACCAGGAGGAGTTGAAGTTTGTCATGACCTCTCCAAGTTTTTTGGGCTTTTAGGGTTGTTTAGGGCCTTTTTGAGGTTTTTGGAGTTTTTAAGGGCCTTTTAGGGTTTACTGGTTTTTTGGGTTTTTAGGGTTGTTTAGGGCCCTTTTGAGATTCTTGGGATGTTGCAGGGTTTTTTGGGGCTTCTAAAGGCTTTCAAGCGTTTTTTTTGTTGGGGGGGGGGGGGGGGTATGTACGGTGTGCTGCAGGGTGCATAATACCACCGGTGTCAATGCAAATGACCCCTGTAGAGCACCCGAGGCAGAAGCAAACCTGAACAGATAGGGTTTAGGGTTTCGGGTTTAGGGCTAGGGTTTAGGGATTAGAGTCTAACAACAAACGCTGAAGTCCGGGTTTTGGGGCTCTAGGGTTAGAGTCCAGGGCCGAAACCTCCTCTCTTGCAGGTTTTATGGTCAGAGAACACCCGGAACCCTATGGGAGTTTTAGGAGTCCCGGGTTTTGGGGCTCTAGGAGAATAAGGGCAAAAAGCAGGCTTGAGGCTTGAGGCTCCTAAAGTACCTCAAGAGCCCAAGGATTCTCGCACTCGTTTGGGGTTATCAAACTCTAGACCCTAACACCCAAACCCCAAGCCCGCGCAGAGTCTCTGGGCCAGCGGGCCCCGCCGAAGGTCAGGCCGCAGACGATGAAGGCGCTAATGACGCTGGTGGCAAGAATGACCTGAGGACGTGCAGGGTTAGCATTGGAATCATTTGAATCACCTAAAGAACCCAAAAACTACCCGTTTGTAGGTCAGTACTATAGGACCCCTCATATTATATGATTCTTCATTCACACGCAAAAAGTAGGTTTTGGGTTTCAGGTACTTCTCATTTATGAATGTTGATCGTTGCTCTTCTGCTTAGGTTTCGGGTTTAGGCCTTGGGTTTAGGTTTCGGGTTTACGTAGGTTTTGGGTTTAGGTTTTCGGGGTATAGGTGCCGTGTAGCTACACTCCACCACCCGAAGTACTTCATGCACGCTGCAGGCGGTCAGGGCTGCGGCGCTGGGGCTTGGGGTTTAGGGGTGAGGGTTCAGAAGTTGTTGGTGTTGGTGTTTCGGGGGCTGACCTGGGACTCTATCTACCTACAGTGTAGTAGCAAGTAACACTGCAACACGAAGGTATAACCCTCAGGTGGATCCGGACCCTTCTCGGCCACCTGTGACGTCTGCGCCGTAAACCCTAAACCCTAATCCCTAATCTTAGGGTGGTTACATGGTCCCCTTGTATGGTCAAGGAGGTAAGGGACCATACTAAGGGCCCATGTAACTACCCATAGAGGTCTCTCCACCCAAGAACCTAAACCCTAAACCCTAAATCCAAAACCCCACAGGCCACAAGGCCTTCTGAGGTAAAACGATGTCTAAGCCGCCCGACCCGATGGAACCAGGCATATTGCCCACAGGACCAGACCTGCCAGCTTTAGGAGTTAGGGTTTTGGGGTTTAGGCTTAGGGCTTAGGTCTTAGGGCTTAGGGCTTAGGGCTTAGGGCTTAGGGTTTGGGGTTTGGGGTTTGGGGTTTGGGGTTTGGGGTTTAGGGTTTGGGGTTTGGGGTTTGGGGTTTTGGGTTTAGGGTTTGGGGTTTAGGGTTTAGGGTTTAGGGTTTAGGGTTTAGGGTTTAGGGTTTAGGGCTAGGCGGGGCCATAATGAAGCCACATTTTTTGCACAGTTCTGCTTTACCTGGTTCAAAATCCTCCGCAAATACCACTGTTCCTTGCTTCCGGCCAGTACCTTATCTCCGCACTTTTTGGTGATAATTTCCAGTATTTTTTTTGGTATTTGTGGGGTTTTCTGCACTGCTTCACACTTTCGTCGTGTGCGAAACTAACTTAAATGCTTCTGTGTATACATATATGTGCATATATATACATATATGTATGTATATATATATATATATGTATATGTATATGTAGGGTTTAGGGTTTTGGTGGAGGGGGTTAGGGTGGAGGGCTTAGCGGTTAGGGTTTAGGGTTAGGGTTTAGGGTTTAGGGTCTTGCCCGTAGTGTCCCTCAAAGGCCAATAGAGGGGGGAGAAGAGGTACCCAACTCTCGCATGCCCTCGGTTTGCTTTGTGACTCTTTTTTTTTTTTTTTTGGGGGGGGGGGGGGGGGGCGGGCAAGGGCTCCGAGAGCTTCTAGGGAGGTCGTTTCTATGCGGCCCTCCTGGATCTTCGGGGTCAAGTTGCTTTAGAGCTCCTTGCCGGTACAGCGAGTTTTTTGAAACTAAACTTGGGATGTTCCCCTTATACTAAACGTCCTTAATCGGGATTCTAGTAGTTATCCACTAATGTCATCTCTATTTTTTAAGGACTGTTGGTGTAAGGGGGAATATCCGAAACCCAAACTCTTAACCCTTCGCTGAAGGCTGCCCGGCGCACGAGGACGCCAAAAGCTTTCAGGGTCATCTGAATCTGCGAGTGCGCTATCGCCAGGTGCATCAGCCTCGACGAAGCAGGGCGAGCAGCAGAGATACCTAACCCCCCCCCCCCCACCCCCCGAACCCCTAAACACCCGAAACACCTTAACCCCCCTAAACTCCTAAACACCCAAAATACCTAAACCCCCTTAACCCCCAGAACCCAAAACCCTCAACCCTAAACACCCTAAACCCTAAACCCTCAAACCCAGTTCTTCGGAATGCTCCCCTCGGGAGCTGGCCACTGTGTGAGGGACGGCGTGACGAACATGACGCACGAGACGACGACCTGCAGAAAGAGGCCCAAAGACACTTAGGGGGTTTGAGGGTTTAGGGTTTAGGGTTTTGGGTTTAGGGTTTAGGGTCCCCGAAAAAAGCCAAGCCCTAAATCCCCCAAACCCTAACAGGAAACCCCAAAACACCAAAGTCCAACATGCCCCAAACCCCGAACCCCGAAAAATCCTCCAAAAACGGAAACCCTAAACCCTGAACCCCAAAACCCGAAAACCCTAACCCCCCAAGCCGTAAAATCCCCCAAACCCCCAAAAGCCTTAAACCCCAAAGCCGCGAACAGAACATGTTCCCGTAGGTTGCCGAGAAACAACAATCAAACAAAATCCCTGGGTAGACTATAGACAATAGAAGCCCCAACAAAACCCTAAACCCTAGACCCCAAATCCGTAAACAAATCTCTACTCCCCCAATAACCCCCAACCGCGGACCTGCTTGTCAAAGAATTCTCCGCTCTCGTGAGCACTGCTACAGTTCACCGGCCTCGCAAGAGGCTTGGTCACCCTAGAGCCTATTAACATTCAAGGGGAGTTTGTGCCAAAGCCTGTCAATACCGAGATGCGAAGCGGCATGTGAGTCCACAGAGAAACTGCTTCCGCAGTTTAGAAGATAACTCTGCAGCTCCGAGGCGGAGATGTGGCTGACCCGCTGCTGTGCATGATTATGTTTGGGCGCTCCATTGCTTTTTGCACTGTTCATCTTTTTTTTTGTTTGCTTCTCTTTATTTTGTCTTGTGCTGAAACGAACATTACGCTAACACTACGCGAAGCCCGAAGCCCCTCCTGACACCCAAGACAAGCCGCGAACCGCGCTACCATGCCGAAGCCCCTCATGATCCCTACGCTTCCTTGGCTGCACTTAGGAGGGTAGCTATAAATTAAACTCTTAGCTGCCTTATTAAGAAGCCCAACATACCCAAAAAGGCTAAGGATCTAAAGTTACAGTAAAGCACCACAAAGCTTCTTTCTGTGTGCCTTTCACCTGAAAACCAAGGGCATGGTCTTTCAGAACTGCTTAAGCCAGAATCATACTCTAAACAGTTTGGGGTTCAGGTCTAACCCTAAACCCTAAACCCTAAACCCACAGTCTTGGTGGCTTCAACGACGCCCCCTAGGCTCCCCCACTGGTGATTCCGGCTGATGAAGGTCTGAATCCGCAGCTCTGATGCGAAACCTCAATTCTGCGCACGGCCGCCGGCGAACCCGGGGGTTTGGGGGGGGGTTTAGGGTTTAGGGTTTAGGGTTTAGGGTTTAGGGTTTAGGGTTTAGGGTTTAGGGTTTGCTGTGATAGGGCGTAGATGCTGTGAAGGTTAGGTTTTGGAACAAGCTCGAAAGCGTCGTGAGGTGCGAAGAGCAGCTTTGGCCCGATTGTGGAAGGCCATCTAACACTTTCTCCCACCCCACGCCGTCCAAGGCGGCAAAGCCACCCAAACCTATTCCTTTTAGGGTTTAGGCCTAAACTCAAGCCAACTGCTTTCTTTACATAAAACTTCTTCATTCCGTCACGAAGGACCACGGGCCCAGGCCAGGGTCAGTCTGGGCAGCCCAGGGGCCCGGCAGAGGGGCCCAAAGCGGCCCAGTTAAGGAGGCGCCAAAACCAGGGGTTCCAGGGGGGTTCAGGGGGGGGGGGGCCAGGTGGGCCAAGGGGAGCGGGGCGGCCCAAAACCTCACAGTGACAGAAGGGCCCAGAAACGCAAGAAGCGGGCCAGGGGCCACCAGGGGGGGCCAGGGGGGGCCAGGGGGGGCCGGGGGGGGCCAGGGGGGGGCCAGGCGGGGGCCAGGGGGGGCCAGGGGGGGCAGGGGCGGCAGAAGCCCAAAACACCCATTTTTTGAGCACCCGCCCTGCCTGGCCTGGCCTGAGGCCCCCTGGTCCCTGGACACGCTGCGGTGAGGGGTCCGGGTCCTCCTGGCCTGGGGGCCTTGGGGTACCCCCCCCCGAAATGCCAGCCCCATCCAGGGTGAAGGGCTTGGGGTTTAGGGGACCAGTACTGGTCCCCGGGAGAACCTGCTCCGGTACCGGGCCCATCGTGGGTGCTACCGACCTCCTGGCTGCAGGAGGCGGGCAAGCGACCTGGGTCGACCTTCGCCATAGAGGTCGAAGGGCTTAAGCGCCGCCCCCCCTCTAATGTAGGGGGGCGGCCTAGGCCCTGAGTTTAGGGTTTAGGGTTTCGGGTTTAAGGTTTTGGGTTTAGGGTTTCGGGTGGGGTCGGCGTTTAGGGCCAAGGGCCTTGGGCAGGGCAGAGGCTCGTCCACTGCTTGCTGACCAATCAAGCAGGAAGCTCCGCACTTTCTGCGCATTGAAAACCTTTCGCACCCCTAAGCCAAAAATAAAAACGGAGCCCGAAAGCCAAGATGAACAACCCTGGGCTGAGCCTACCCTAAACCCCAAACCCTAAACCCCAAACCCCAAACCCCAAACCCCAAACCCTAAACCCTAAACCCTAAACCCTAAACCCTAAACCCTAACCCCCCCCCCCCCGAAGCTCCCCCCCAGCCGCGCGGAGTGAGGCCCTGGCAATCCATGCCCCGCCTGCACTCCTCCAGCGGAAAGTCCTTGCCGACCTCGTGGGATCTTCGGGTGGGATTTTGGGGCTCGGGGTGGGTTAGGGATAAGGGGTTAAGGTGTAAGGGTGGTTTTAGGGGTTTTAGGGTTTAGGGTTTAGGGGTTTTAGGGGTTTTAGTTTTAGGGGTTTTAGGGTTTAGGGTTTAGGGTGTAAGGCGGTTTAGGGTTTGAGGGCTTGTGGAGGTTTAGGGCGTAGGGTGGTTTAGGGTTTAGGGTTCAGAATTCATGAAACCAGGCCGAGTACTCGGGCCTTGCACGGCCTGGGGGCTTGGCGAGAGGGCTCAAAGCCCATAGCCGGCGAGATGATGGGGTGTACATACTGGTTCTTAGGGTACTGAGGGCTCTTAGGGTTTTAGGGCTTTAGGGCTTTAGGGGATAGGGAATTGAGGGAGCTGGGTACCCTACATAGTCACTTAAACGGGCTCTATGCACCAGCATCTGCCGAGCCCCGCCGAAACCACGATATCCCCCGGGCTTAGGGTTTAGGATGTAGGGTTTAGGGTTTAGGGTTCAGGGTTTAGGGTTTAGGATTTAGGAGTTGGGAGTTAGGTTGACTTTCCTGTGGTTCACCGAGCCCTCGGCATGTGTCGTGGTCTGAAAGACGCAGGACTCCCAAAGGTAGGAGAGCACGACGATGACGGTCAGCCGTGTGATCCTTCCATGGGAAAGCTTGGGGTCTCAGGGCTCCGGGCCCAAAACTTTTAACCCTAAACCCTATATAACCCTCAAAGCAGGGTTTGGAGTTTGGCTGAAGGGCTCTCCTAAACCCTAAACCCTTCCCTAAACCCCAAAACAGGCCGGAGGGGCATCATCGCTTCCCATCTAAGGGCTTTGCCATCCGACCTGGCAGCACCAGGGCTATGAGGTTCTGGGAAATCCGAGCTCAAAGAAGAAGATTTGATCGAAGCTTCGACGCAGCAAAAGGGAACAGTGGACGCAGGCTCGACGACTGAGTGGCTGGGCTGTGGCCGAGTGCATCCATTCGCTGCGGAATGCGGTGACAGAATGCCCTCAAACGCACCGAACTCGCGTGTGTGCTGCTCATGCGGTTAGGTCAATAGGGGGGCGAGCACACTTCAATCAAGCATGCCTGTAAATGGCCGGAATGGGCCCTGCTGAAGACTCCGTGCTCAGCAGGTGCTTCGGTTCTATTTATAAGTTTCTCGATGCTTTGCGGTTTTTGCTGGCTTTCCAGGTGTTTCGGACTTGTGGGGCATATGAGGCGTGCCAAATCGGGCTCTTCAGGTTTGTGTGGGGCTTCGAGAGCAACCCCAAAGAAGGGGCAAAAGAGATGGAGATACAAGATACCTGACTGCTTAACTCCCTACGGACAACGAAGCCCTATCTTGGGATTCCCCACGAAGGGCTGTTAGCATAAGGGGTACCATTCCCAAGCCCTAACCTTCGACATAGCGACACACGCACCAAGGCATGCACACTTCGTTGACTTCGATGTCAAAAAAGTACAGCCGTTTCTCTCGGATGGCGAACCTCACGTCAAGCGTCTCTCTTGTTTGGGGGGAGGGAGGGTTTAGGGTTTGGGGCTTAGGGCTTGCCGTTGAGGGTTTAGGTTTTAGGGCAGAGCCGTAGGGGTGGTTTGGGGCTTGGGACTTGTCCAGCATGTCAATCGCTACCTTCAGCATCACCGTCCTACTGTCCTGATGGATGTTCGAGGGCTGCAAGCTGCGCAGCAGACGGCCACCATGAAATACTAGACCCAAGAGAAACCGATGAATAAAAAAGGGTAGCCTTTTTGGTTGAAAGGAGTTAATACGGGCCTAAATCCTAAAAACAGGGAAGACTGGCCTGCTCTGGTCCTTAGCCCCTAAACCCCTAAAAACCCCTGAACCCTAAACCCCAACTCCCTAAACCCCCAACCCCTACAACAGTCCTTCTCCCAAGGCCCCTACAACACACACGGACCCAAACGCCCATCCGCCCCTCAGCCGACCCAGGAGGAACCTTGGAATGAAAAGAGTACCCTTTTTGGTTTAAAGGGGGCTGATAAGGGAACCTAAGCCCTAAAACAAGGGAATAAGGGCCTAGTCTGGGTCCTAGTAGCCCTAAACCCTACCCTAAACCCCAAACCCCAAACCCCAAAAAAAGGAAATAAGGGCCCCGACACCCCAGGGAAGAGCACCGGCAGCAGCGCGAAGCGCTTCATGACGATCTCGACCAAGGCCCAACTCACGCCTTTGGAGGGAGGGAAGCTGAGGGGCTGTTAAGAGGGGGGGGGGGAGGTTTAGGGTTTAGGGTTTAGGGTTTAGGGTTTCGGGTTTGGGGGTTTAGGGCTGGTGGGGGGGGGGGAGGTGGGGTAAAGCGGTGGCAGGGGGGGGAAGGGCTTCAAGGACTTTAAGGGGCTTAAAGGGGCGCAAGAGCTTTGAGGCGTTCCAAACGCTTTGCTCCTGGTTTCTTCCATGTTTCTAGAGGGGGTTGCTCCAATCTGCTTGGAGGGCGTCATAAAGGAATCACAAGGCTGCTTGGGGTGTCAGCTCATTGGGGTTCTTTGCCTTGTCAGTTGGTCTTCAAAAACTAGATGGGGGTTTACGATATTCGGGGTACCCTATTGGGATCGCTATCATAAAGAGGATCCTACGATTTAGGGTGCCCATATTGGGGTCCCCCCATGTTCGTAAACCTCCAAAACGCCTGGAGGCTTTCTGAGTGGCTTCACAGCCTTGACTTCTTCTTCGCAGCACTTACGGTCTTCGAAAGGGACGGAGTCCGGAAATCTCCCCTAAGTTCCCAAACGAGGGTTTCCGAAACTAGGGGTACCCTTTTGGGGAGTCCCTTTAAGGGGATTCTATTCTATGTGCTTTTGGGATAATGCCCAAATGTAAGCAAAAACGCTCGGATCAACGAAAGCTCTCCACGACCATGCAAGCCGAAGGCTGCAGGGCAGAGGCTTGGGGTTTGGGGTTTGGGGTTTGGGGTTTAGGGTTTAGGGTTTAGGGTTTAGGGTTTCGGGTTTAGGGTTTAGGGTTGAAGGTTTCGAAGGTTTGAAGACTTAAGGGCCCTCTCTCAGGGGGGTTCTAGTCTCATGCCTGAGCTCCAGGTGCTCTGAAGCTCCGGCTCATCAGAATCGCGAGGACGAACATGATGGCCTGGTACTCCAACGAGCTAAACCTGCCGCGCGCCGCCCGGAAGGGACATCATGTAGGGGCCTGAATAATCAGAAAAGTGTTTCGGGGCTATTCTGGCATGATGATAATGGGACCATAAGGGAATATCATAGGTAAGTATTCCGACCCCTCTATTAAGGGCGCAGGGTTGGTGAGTTCAAAGGCACAGCTTCCTGCCTCAACCCTATAGGCCTAAGCCCTGCCATGCACGTGAAACAAGAGAAACCAGGTGGGGAGACTTGGGGTTACTGTGTCATTGCCAGGAACAACTGGCTGAAAGGAAAATCCAGATGTCAAGCTTCGAGACCCAAAGCCTGAATTTAGGACTGAGAGCTTCTTCGGCCGTGAGGTTTACGTTCGAGGGCTCAAGGCTTACAAGACTTGATTGGGGTTAGGGGTGAGGGCTTTGAGGGCTTGAGCGTCCTGTCTACTGTCTAAACCCTAAACCCTAAACCCTAAACCCTAAACCCTTGCGCCCTGAAATTTCCGGACCTGGAACGCAAAATGCCGGCCTAGTGAGGCCATTGGAGTCTCCAACTATGATGGCCATGGCCTGATCACGGGACAGGGCACTTAGGGGTTTAGGGTTTAGGGCTTAGGGCTTAGGGTTTAGGGTTTAGGGGTACTTACTAACCAGTCAGAACTGCATTTATAACCCACTTGCAAGCCCCTCAATTACCCTAATATGGTTAGAATTGGGCTATAAGTGCAGTTGCTATTGGGCTAGTAAAAAACCACACCCTCAACCCTAATCCCTAAACCCTAAACCCTAAACCCTAAACCCTAACCTCCAAGTGGGGATGAAGGCTTCATGAAGACTGGCGGGCCTGGAGTTCAGGAGCTTCCTTTCACAGCTTGAGTTACTGCGAGGTTTTGGGTTTGGGGTTGGGGTTTGGGGTTTGGGGTTTCGGGTTTAGGGTTTGGGGTGTAGGGTTTAGGCTTTAGGGTCTGAGGTTTTGAGAGCTTAGAGCTTAGGGGAGGAGATGGGCAACCCTGCATCCATTCATCCCGGAACCTAAACCAGAGCTTGCCCTTAGCCTTGGAAGGTACAAGGTGTGGAGGGAAGAGGCGAACAAGCTGCCACCTCGCCGACTCCTCCCTTGTCCGCAAAAAGTTTAGGGTTTAGGGTTTAGGGTTTAGGGTTTAGGGTTTGGGGTTTAGGGTTTGGGGTTTAGGGTTTAGGGTTTAGGGCTTAGGGTTTAGGGTTTAGGGTTTAGGGGGTTTAGGGTTTCGATGGGGTCAGGGTGCACTCGGGACCCTGGCTCCAAGCCGGCCTGACTTGGCCGCGCGCCAACCCACTACGAACTACACTTCCAGAACAGCTGCGGCGAGGAGGGGCGAATCACCCTAAACCCTAAACCCTAAACCCTAAACCCTAAACCCTAAACCCTAAACCAAGGGACTAGAGGAGGGAGGCGACTTAGGTAATCTTGGGACTACATCAGGTATATATCGGGGTTATAGAAGGGGAATCAAGGGACTAGAGGAGGGGATCCTTATTAGGGACCTTAGGGCTTGCTTGGGGGGGCTATTTAGGGGCTACTTAGGTGCTACAGGGACATTTTAAGGTATAACACAGGGGTTGCGTTTCCAGGGGGTCCTCCTTATACCCCTCAAGGGAAGGTTTCGAAGGCAGCTCGGCATGAGAAAACTTGGGGAACGAGCCCCCCACCAACGAAACAACATCCCGAGGAGTCTCATGTTAAAGCTCCTAACCCCCGAACCCCTAAAGCCCTAAGCCCCAAAACCTAAAACCTCTGCCCCGGCGCATGTGCACGCATCTGAGGTGCGTCTGCCGGCCCATCCCGGAGATTCCTTTCCAGAAGTAGGAGTACAAGCGCCCCCAGTCATACCTACCTCAACTCTTTCTCTGGCTCCCGGGGTCTCAAGTCTTGCTGAGGACCCCCCCCCTCTCGCTACCGGCAAAGCACGACGCACAACTTTGGCTCGGGAGCCTTGGCACCCAAAAGCCCTTAACTGCCTTAGGGTTTAGGGTTTAGGGTTTAGGGTTTAGGGTTTAGGGTTTAGGGTTTAGGGTTTAGGGTTTAGGGTCCTGCCAGAACCCCGAGGCATGAATGAGACAGCATGCCAGGCAACCCAAAGGTCTCCATATGTGAAAGCATGCTGCCGCTGCAAGAAAAAGGCTAGATGTACATGTTCGGCTAGCGGTGTTCTTCACAAGCAGAAGAATAGTCTCGCCCATAGCAGGAATTGGGGAGTTTTTGGGGTTAGGGAAACCCCCAAAGCCCACCGCAGACTACACAAACCGAGCTTTTGGGCGTGACCGTCCGAAGCGCACGGCCGAATTTCAGCCAACAGCGCTGCGCAGCACATTAGCTACGGACGCCAAACCCTGCCGGAGGCCTGGGGAAACAGCGCGGCTGACAATAAAGTCCCTGTCTGGAGTGTCATTTTTATAAGGGATCCCGTGAGTAAAGATACCTAAAGATGCCGGAATTTGCCACACTCCGCAGCCGCGAACACAGAAGCTCTCCTGAGGCAGGATTCATCGCGTCCACAGGATCACTGAAACAAGGAGCACTTTGGCTCCTTGACCCTAAACCCTAAACACTAAGCCCTAAACCCTAAACCCTAAACCCTGAACCCTAAACCCTAAACCGTCAGCGTGGGTCGGGCCACGCCCAGAAGTCGAAGATAAGCCAGCGATCTTCGAAGCCGAGGCCGCGATACTTTGCACCACTACCGCCCAGCCGTGGGCGGCAAGAACATCTGCCTTGGCTGCTGAGGGATTGTCAGACAGGCTCTGAGACCCCGCCGCCAAAAGCCACAAAACATTGTTGCTATATTTGTCATCGGTATTACTATGATTCTCCTGACTAATCATCTTATTAATTGTTGAGTACATTTTTAGTACTAGTCGAACGTAAATATCCAAGGCCAGGCACGGCGAGGCCGACAAGTTGATGGACCCCTGCGGCGGGAGCTGCCCTGAAGCGGGGGAGCCTTGCAGGGCCAAGGACCCCTGCGGCGGCAGCCGCTGCGGTGCGATGGACCCTTGCGGGGGCAGGTTCTGTGGGTCGATGGCTATGGAGCCTTGCGGTGGGAGGTCCTGGGGCATCAGGGATCCTTGTGGAGGCAGGTTCAGGCTCTGCGCACTGATGGATCCCTGCGGTGGAAGGCGCGGGGGGATGGACTCTGGTGGGAGGCGCTGTGGGGCTATGGAGCCTTGCGGCGGCAAGCGCTGCGGCGCAAGGGATCCTTGCGGTGGCAGGTTTGACCGGCCCAGCTCCTGTGGGGCTATGGAGCCTTGTGGCGGCAGGCGCCCTTGTGGAGGTAGGCTTTGGGGTGGGATGGAGCCTTGTGGTGGCAGGTTCTGAGGGGATATCGAACCGTAGGGTGGGAGGCCTTGTGGCGGGATGGAGCCTTGGGGGAGCAGATTCTGTGGGGCGAAGCTCGGGAACTGAAGGCTCTGGGGAGACAGGCTGCCCTGCGGCGGTAGCGGCCCACCTGCGCAGGCCAAGGAGACCCCGACCCCTGGGCCATTTCAGGGGATTGAGGGTTCAGGGTTTAGGGTTGAGGGTTTAGGGTTTGGGGTTTAGGGTTTAGGGTTGAGGCCTAAACCCCAAACCCTCACTGCAGCCGCTGCTTCGCAGATTCCCGGCCTGATGCGTAGGATCCCTGCGGCCAGCGGGCCTGGGACCAAGTCAGAGTCAACCCCGTCCTCCCCTAAACCCTAAACCCTAAACCCTAAACCCTAAACCCTAAACCCTAAACCCTAAACCCTAAATCCTAAACTAAACCCTAAACCCTAAACCCTAAACCCTAAACCCTAAACCCCAATACTCAAAAAAACGCAACCGCCAAGACCTCTGCACTGTTCAATGATACCATTTGCGGATTTCCGAAAATATGGTACCCTTTTTGGGGGTCCCTTTAAGGGGATTCTATTCTATTTGCGGTATAGAAAGGGGTACCCCTATTTTTAGGGGGTAACAATAGGGGGAGGGGAATACGTAGAGGAATCAAGGTTAAGGCTTTTTGGATCGGGAGCCACGGCCTCACCCTTTCGAGGCCGTTCAACAAGCAAAGTCGAAAATTCAAACTTGCAACCCCGATGCACGCAAGAAGCACGAACGCCCGAAGCACCCCCAAAAACACAAAATCCCACGGTCGCTAACCCAAACCCTAAACCCTAACAATCTGCAAGCCACTGGCCTCAAAAACCCAAAGCTCTGAAAGCCCCCAACACACTGAAACCTAAAGCCCCAACCCCTGCACCCTCAAACCTAGATCTCTTAAAACTTATTACCGGCCAACCCCAGTTTAGAGGTTAGAGGTTTAGGGGGCTTAGGGTTTGGGAAACCCCAAAGCCAAAACCCCAAACCCTAAACCCGAAACACCAAACCCCAGGCCCTAAACCCTAAACCCTCATACCTCAAACCCCAAGCCCCAAACCCGAAACCGTGAACCCTCAACCCCAAGCCCGAAACCCCAAGCCTTATCCCCAAGCCCTAAACCCTAAACCCTAAACCCTAAACCCTAAACCTTAAACCTTAAACCCCAAACCCTAAACCCTAAACCCTAACCCCTAAACCCTAACCCCTAAACCCTAAACCCTAAACTCTAAACCCTAAACCCTGAACCCTGAACCCTAGGGGGTGTTCAGAGGCTGCGGCCTCGGAGGTTCCGAAGCCCAGTGGGGAGGCGCCTCGCTCTCGAATCTTACGTGTTCAACCCGTTTGGGGTTTAGGGTTTATAGAAATTGTATAGGGTTTGGGTCCCATTAACGTTTTGAACGAAACGTTTTGAACGAAAGTTTTGACCGGCTTTTTTTGGAACTTGCATTTCATTTCTATTGTGGGGGGGTTGGGGGGGCGGCTGGGGGGCTGGGGTGCTGGCAGGCTGGGGGGACTGGGTGGCTGCAGACCTGGGGGTTGGGGGACTGGTGGGGCTGGGGTGGGGCTTAAGCTCTGCTTGTCAGCTGTTTAGACGAATAACTTGGAAAATTCAGAATGAGACCACATACAATTTCTATTTATTTTGTCTTGAGGGTTTAGGGTTTGGGGTTTGGGGTTTGGGGTATGGGGTTTGGGGGTTTAGGGCTTAGGGCTTAGGCCTCAGGGAGGGGCGAGGGTTTGAGGGGGGAAAACCGGTTACAGGCTCTTTGTCTGGAGCTGGGCGTAGGAAACCCATGGCTGTTTCAGGAGTTGGGCGTCCAAAGGCAGACCCACGATTCCGTGTTCAAGCTCCCCTCAACCCTAAACCCTAAACCCTAAACCCTACACCCTAAACCCTACACCCTAAACCCTAAACCCTTAGCCACCCACTTCGGGCCCAAACCTTTGCCATCATTGCAGACATCCCACACCTACCTCCCGAAACTCTGGCAGCGTCGGCTTCAGCCTGGACCCTGGACCCTGCACCCTGAACCCTGAACCGCCTGGTACTTAGTCGGGAATGAAGGAATTAGGGCCCTATATATACCGTAAGGGATGATATAGGGCCCTCATTCCCTCATTCCCTACTAAGAACCAGCCGGTGAACTCTTAGGGTTTGGCCACATTGTGGGTTTTACCGTGCATTGGTTCC